GCCTTCACGACATGGCGGTGGCGGCAACAACAATACTACAGCGAGGATAAAAGTTACGCCTTCTTTCTTTGGGTGGACATTTGGGCGGCTTTATGCAAATCTTCCCAGATCGTGACGTAGGTATGTGGGGGCGTGTTAGAACGAGCCGTTTTAGGTAGGCGTGGCAGACTCTTAACTTTTATAAAGAATATCTCTTTGGATTTGAGACTTTAGTCTTTGCAACTTTACAGATCTTCTTTATGCACCAAGAGCTTGTAACACTCCAAAGAGAAAGGAAAAATTGAAACCGCATCATATGACTCCTTTAAAATATATTCTTAAAGGAACAGTTCACCTAAAAATGTTAATTTGCTGAAAATCTACTCACCCTCTGACCATCCAAGTTGTAGAGGAGTTTGTTTCTTCATCAGAACAGATTTGGAGAAATTTTGCATTACATCACTTGCTCACCAATGGACCCTCTGCAGTGAATGGGTGCCGTCAGAATGAGAGCCTAAACAGCTGATAAAAACCATGATAAGCCACATGACTCCAGTCCATTAATTAACGTCTTATGAAGTGAAAAGCTGTTTGTTATAATATATATATAAAAAAACATCAGAAAGATGTTTTAACTTTATTTCTGTCAGTAATACATAATAACGTGATTAGAACTGTTTTGGACTCCTTTTGCTTGTAAACAGTGCTTGATCTGTGGATATTTCTCTCCTGATTCAGATTAGATGACTTTTTAATTGGAAAAAGCAATAATATGTATAGAGGACTTGTATTTTAGCTAGAAGCATGGTTTAAAGTTAAAAAGCCTAAAAGATGGATTTCTTTCTTACAAACATTGTCGTGTGGATTGCTTGTGGATTATTGTGATGTTTTTATCAGCTGTTTGGACTCAGCTGTTCTGACGGCACCCATTCACTGCAGAGGATCCATTGGCGATCAAGTGATGTAATTCTAAATTTCTTCAAATCAGTTCTCATGAAGAAACTCATCTACATCTTGGATGGCCTGAGGGTGAGTACATTTGAGCAAGTTTTTATTTTTGAGTGAACAATTCCTTTAAAGATAGAGTACCACTTTAATTAATAGCATTTAGAAGAAGAGTTATTGTTATTGTGTTTTTGTGATTCTTAAGCATATGTTTTTATGTTAAGGCCCAAAGCTCCCTGTCCTGCATCTGCTAACTCAAACCCAAACAGGTTTGCACAGAAGTTTGGGAGTACAGATCGCTGTCCTCGCTGCTCTAAAGCGGTTTATGCAGCAGAGAAAGTCATGGGCGCTGGAAAGGTAAAACTACAGCTAAAATTAAAGCAAGAAGCTGACTCAGAGTTTTGATACATTATACTCTGATATAATATGAAATATATTAATATTAAACCATTCAAACTGAAATAAGCATATTTTGAGAACGTGTTCCCTTCTCAGCACTTCTGCAATATGCTGCTGTCACAGGTCAGCGCTGTGTAAAGCACATTTCACCGTAGTAATTTATCAGACTGTGACTGGTTCTGATCCAACAGCCCTGGCACAAAACCTGCTTCCGCTGTTTATTGTGTGGGAAGAGCCTGGAATCCACCACGGTGATGGATAAAGATGGAGAGCTCTATTGTAAAGGTACAATCCATCAAATGAGACAGCAAGGTCTCTGGCCAGCTCAATCTCATTAATATCACTTAACCAATCAATAGATACTCTGTTTTGAGTTTATTTCTGACAATTGTGCAATTATCTCTCGCAATTCTGAGAAAAAAAGGCTGCAAGTACCATTTTTATGTTTGTTCCATGGTAGAAACAGCACTTCTGCAATATGCTGCTGTCACAGGTCAGCGCTGTGTAAAGCACATTTCACCGTAGTAATTTATCAGACTGTGACTGGTTCTGATCCAACAGCCCTGGCACAAAACCTGCTTCCGCTGTTTATTGTGTGGGAAGAGCCTGGAATCCACCACGGTGATGGATAAAGATGGAGAGCTCTATTGTAAAGGTACAATCCATCAAATGAGACAGCAAGATCTCTGGCCAGCTCAATCTCATTAATATCACTTAACCAATCAATAGATACTCTGTTTTGAGTTTATTTCTCACAATTGTGCAATTATCTCTCGCAATTCTGAGAAAAAAAGGTTGCAAGTACCATTTTTATGTTTGTTCCATGGCAGAAATGGGCTTCCATAGAAATTTGCATTAAAACTTAAAATAAAAAAATAACACGGTGTTTGTAAAATATTGCTGAACACTACATTCTCAGAAAAAAAAGGTACAAAGCTGTCACTGGGTTGGTATTCTAGGGTACAAAAGCTAAAAGGTACATCTTTGTACCTTATTTACCTCTAGATGGTATCGCCCCAGTGACAGTCTTTTATCATACCTTTTATCCTGAGAGTAATTTAATATTAACCATGACGTATTTTATTATTCAGAACTAAGATTTGCCAACAGATTTCTCTTTTTTATTTATTTTTTCCCCAGTTTGCTATGCCAAAAACTTCGGTCCAAAGGGGCGTGGCCTGGGGAACCTGGGTGTGGTCGAGGAGAATGATTGACAAGTTTAGTCCAACCCAATGCAGCTGCTTTTTCACTGCACACAACATCGGTTAAGGCTAGAAGGGATACGCATGGCGCTACTGGGCATGCGCACATCAATATAGCGTAATTTTGTCACAATGTACAACAATAATGACTATTTTTTCATTATTGTAAGGGGTAGGTTTAGGGTTGGGGTAGGTGTAGACGTTAATAACACACGATCTAATAGGTAGAAATTTCATTGTTCGTTTCCGGTCGGAAACGATCTTATCCCTTCATGTTAAATTGGAACAGGGGTATTTTAAGATTTAAAAAATGCACACACTTCAGCTTTAACCCCTTAACTGTCACCCTTAAATTTTTATAATTCATGAACGAAAACATTTTGTAACATGATATTGATGTACCATTTTCATGGTAATGCAATGTTTGATTTTAAAATGGGTTTCAAAAGATGAATTTTGAGATTTAAAGTTTTCAACTGATATATAATTTCTGATGATTTCTAAAG